GACAGAGATCTCTAAAACAACAGTGTGGAAGTAGAATGTTTCTTTACTAGAGTAGTTCGGTATATTCTTTAGAAGTATAGAGACCTGGTTTACTTTAGAGCAAAGATATGTTTATTTATAATACAATGCTTAGATACTAAGCTATTTATAGATATTTATTCCTATAGAATCCTAATATTTTAAAACATTGCAGAAAATGAATCCTCCAGTACAAGGAGGATAAAAGCTAGAGTTTATATAGCTTTTACAACTTGTATAAAAGGTATAAAAAGTACTAAATATATAAAAGATATAAAATGTACAAAAAATACAAAAGGTATAAAAGATATAAAAGGTATAAAAGGTACAAAAGGTATAAAAGATATAAAAGGTATAAAAGAGATACAAAAGATATAAAGAATATAAAGAGTATTATAATAAATCTATTGCTTAATTATCTAGCAAACTAATAGTCCGTTTGTTATATATTGTAGTTTGTTTTGATTATTACAATCTTCTGGATCTAATAGAGATAAAATCTCTAATATATTCTATAATATTAACATACTTTATAATTATATATAGAAGTTTAGTTTAGATTTTATAATTACTGGTTAATTATGCTTGGAAGATCTTGCATTTTTAAAGAAAAAGAAAGTGTAACAAAATGATATTTTCACATATAACATCGCGGTGGTCATGTGATCCCATATATTATATACAGCTACTACTAAGTTATTTTTTTTAGTATAGATTTTTCTTTATTTATTTACTATTTTTTTTTTTAATGACGCTGCCTCTTTATTACTCATTTTGTAGAATATACACAGGTATATATTATTTTTACAAGATTTTCAGTACATCATTGATATCAAATTTCTAAACTAGTACCTGTTATACTGCCATTACTGAGTTTGTATCTCAAGCTACCTTTTAAGGCACTGCCGAAACCCAATCTGTATCTTAAGCCATAACCTTTCTAATTAGTCATCCACTACCGCAGATGTCTCAGGTCCCTCTTCCTGCAGTGTTTCAGTTTCTGAAATTCCATAACCAACTTGAGTGAGACATACCAAACCTTACGGCCCAGTATAGTTGTATTAACCCCAATTTACCTCACCATTGGTCTTCACACCCCATAAGGTTTGCTTATCCTGGCTCCAGGTGCCTCCGGATCATTGGATGGCAGAATATTTCCATTTTGCTAGATATCACATATCCCACACATATGTTTTATCTAGACTTCAGTAATCTACGCCATGGCTCTACTTATGTACTTGGGTTCAGGGCTGACTATTAAACCCCTGTAATTACTTACTTTCGCCTTTATTAGGTTCCCAACAACTCTGGTACTTGCATTTGAACTGTCTTTTTACTCAGATTTCTTATCGGTCTCTTCCTTACTTCTAGCTAGCAACTCGGAAGGGTCGGTTTGCCCAGGCTTTAGGTATCTGAAGAACACCCTCCCCTTGGTACATACTTTTAGAGCGTATGTCCTTTTCCTTCAGTGCGACAGAACCCGGCAGTTCAGCTGGTATATTCTCCGCCATTAAGACCTGGTCGTTCGGTTCTTCGATTTCGAGCCCCGGTTCGAATTCAGCCCTCTTGTAATACTATCAAAGATCATTGTTACTTCTAACTTGGAACTTCCCAAATGGGTTTTCGGTTATGCTGGTTTTTCGATTTATTGCACCATTGCTTCCATTACTAGATGGTGTAACTGAAGTTACAGATTAGATTCAACCGATATACATAGCCGTCAACCGAATACAAGCCTATTTTTCAAATATCCTTGTCTGTGAGATTTGAACTCTAGACCTGCTACTTGGAGAGGATAATGACTAGACCACTACACTAAGTCGCCACATCTTATTTATTTACTATTTATTATTTTCATTATACATAAATTCGTTATATATAAAATTGTTTTGTATAACTAGAGCCAGTAAACAGTTTTAAAATAGAAATTGTAATTTTAAAAAGGATGTAAAATATTTTTTTGAAGAAATATGATCCACTATCATGTTCTAAATAACTATTTAATAAAATGTTTCTTCGTCTTGAATCTCTTCTAACAAAGACCTAACCCAACCTATAATCAAATATTTTGGTTACAATACAATTATTATATTTGTTATATAATTTTTTTAGTCATATACAGATTATAATAGTGCATTTTTGTTATATAGAGGGATGAAATCTCTTTTAACTTTGTATTTATTTTCTATAAAATTTATTTTATTTTTTTTTGTTTTTTAGAGATTTTTTTATTTTTATATTTTGCTTATTTTTTCTTTTTCCTTTTTTATATCTTTTTTTTTTTAATTATAGCTTATTTTCATATTTTATAGAATTTTTTTTTTGAATAACTTCTAGTTCATTCATAAGCTTAGTAAGACAGTTGCTTTTAGGTATTCTAGTCGTAGCCAAGTAGAGTTAAGCTTATATTATGAAAAAGATCCTTTTAAATTACTGTACTTATTTTTAAATAAATAAATCCAACAAAAAGATAAGTCACAATCAGACTTGTCAGAATTTTAATAATAATAATAATAATAAATAAAAGAAAATGTGTTATTTCACATAATTTTTATCATAAATATATAAAGCTATAATTAATATTTAAAATTAAATTTTATGTAAAATTAGTATAATATATAAATTTTGTGAATTACATTTTTATTAAAAATATACTTAGTAATATACAGTAATAAGCAGGCTAATATAGCTAAAGATTATATAACTTGTTTTAAAAATAAATAAATAAAGTGAAAAATTTTTTAAAAATATTAGTAAACCATTATTAAATAGTTAGTCAATATTTTAGTTGACTAGCTTAGCTAGCCAACTAAAACTATAGATTAATTTATAATATTTTACTCTTATCTGGCTATATAAAAACCAATCAGATTACTGAATCTTGTATAACCAAAGCAAAGAAAAAACAACTCAAAATTAGTTTTTTATATTTTTATATCAAATTTTATACAGTTAATACAAAATATATCAGATTGTATATTTTAAAGGATTTTGTTTAATATAAAGTAAATTTGTTATATAATTTATTTTTTTTAACTGTCTTTTGCTAATTATTCTTTTGTTAAGTTTTATATACAGTCGACTCTCTCTAAGTGCATGTTCTCTAAGTGCAGGTCATATTAAATTCTTTTTAAATGCAGGTTTTTTTTGGTCCCAAGCTATATAAAATTTTAATAAACTTATATTTTCTAAGTGCAGGTTCTTTCTAAATGTAGGATTTTTTTTTTTGCTTAAGAAAATTTTATAGGTCCCAGCGAGCTGCACTTAGAGGAAGTTAACTGTATTAAGTAAAGGAAGTTATTATATCAGATTAGTTATGCAACCAAAATTCAGCAGATTGATTTGATCAGTTTAATATTTTAGTTCAGATCACTAATTTTTTAAATAAAAATTCATTGTTTGAATAGAATAACAAACAGTTATGAAATTTTAGAAATTTTATTCTTTGATGTTACATATGGCAAATTTAATCAGATATTATATTTGTTAACTATCATGTTCAACATATAAAATTTTTGTAAATACCAGTAAATTGGGTCTATGTCAAAATCCTGAAATTTAATTGTCGCGTCGTGTGATGACGGGTTCCAGCATTCAAACCCGCTTATGATTAGTAATGATGATTACTAATCATAGGCGGGTCTGAATACTGGAACCCGACATCACACGACGCGACAATTAAATTTCAGAATATTTTGACATAGACCCTAGTAAATTATAGTCAAAGCAGTAAATTATAGTTAAAACCTGAGCCTTTTCATCTGCGAAAATAAATTTCGGCACCTAACTCTACCAACTATTCCCCGCCCTTATTTTCTTAGTTATCTTTTATTCATTCTATTTTCATCAATGATTTGCTATTAGTCGTATTATTTTATATATACTTTTTTATAAAATACAGTAGTAGCCCTATCGGCCATTTACCCGATATCACATGGGGTTAGGTTAAAATTTGATTAGTTACAGATATATTAGTAAAATTGACCGGGAAAATTAGACGCAGCTAAATGATTAAGATTGGTTTTTCAACCAATCAGGTCGTTCGGTAAATTCATCGAGGAGTTATCGTTATTTGTTATATATATAACGATCTATTCTATAACGAGCAAACAGTAAGTTCGCAGGCGAATGTACGCTATCAAACTTCACACCCAAAAAAATGCATTCAATTGTGGTTGATAATAATGATAAGTTTAACATTAAAAAAATTGTAAATCTTTATATGTAAAACGAAAAGTAGTACAGTTTTAAAGTTATACGTACTTGAAATTACAAAGATTTTAAGAACGGAGTCTTGTTCAACATTTCGTTTCAATTTCCTAATTGACAATATGCATACACTCTTATTTTATGCTTTTGTATAATTCCGACTGGCCAAACATAACGATAAATATATTATTGTTTCACTTTATTGTTTCACATATATCGATATGTTACGTCACGAAGCAATATCTACTTTATCAAACGATAATACAATAAACCGTAGAAGATTATCTGTATTATATATTTAGTATATATTATGTACGCATATATCTTCGGAAATTTATGTTTCATTCTTACAATTTACGTTTTACTATTACATAGAAGTTAAGCCAACTGTGGTATATTGAGATTAATTACGGGAATTTTCTTGTAACATAATGCATTTACGAAACATATACAACATTTTTTACATTTTTTTCGTACTGTACATTTCTAAGATGATCAGAAACTTTTGATCAGATATTGCAAGTGTACGTATTACTGTAGTATTAGTAATTAAGTTTCCGATACTGGAAAAAAAAATATCCTTTAATGTGTTTATAGTATCACTAAAATCCAAAACTCTTTAATTGCTTATTAAACTATTAAGACTAGTTTATTAATCCTTGAGACCATAAGGGATATAGGCGCATTAAAATAGAAATTTTGAACATTATAAATCAATCCTATCTTTCCTATTTCCCTCAACTTTTTTTTTTAAAAAAAATTATCGAAAAAAAATGAGTAATCCTACGTGAGTGTCCTTTTTTTAAATAAATGTTCAGCGTAAAGGCAAAAGCTGACTACGCGTAATGCGAACTATAGGCTTGAGTTGTTACTCATTTTTCTATATTGAATGATATATTGTATTCTTTTTGAAATTCCTATGTTATTACGTACAGTGGTGACTTTGGGCTTATCGGCCTTGCCGTTATGGTATGTACCTTTATATTTTGAATTCGACAACCTCTTTTTTTTTTATTGCTGTACTAAGTTATGTTATTTATTATAGGGCCAAAATCTCATTCTTAACATTAATGACCACGGTTTCGTTGCAGTTGCCTATAATCGAACTGTATCAAAAGTTGATCACTTTTTGGAGAATGAAGCAAAAGGTTTGTTAATAATCTTATCTACGACTTTTCTTAAATGATTTAACTTGTAATTATATAAAAGTTACTTATAATTAAAAATAAAATTATTTATTTGTTCGATAAAGGTACCAATATCATTGGTGCACGATCTGTCGAAGATCTTGTAAATAAACTTAAACGCCCACGTAAAATCATGCTTTTGGTCAAGGCTGGTTCCGCTGTTGATGACTTCATTGAACAAATTATTCCTTATCTCGATAAAGACGACATAATTATCGATGGTGGTAACTCTCATTTCCCAGATTCCATTCGCAGATGCCAATATTTGGAAGGAAAAGGTTTCCGGTTTATTGGCTGTGGTGTCTCAGGCGGTGAGAGTGGTGCTCGTTATGGGCCTTCCCTCATGCCTGGTGGTTCTCCATCTGCTTGGTATGTTGAATTATGTTGAATTATTTAATTATATAAAAATGAATTTTTTTTTTCAATATTTATACAATTTTTTTTTTTTATAAATAGGGAGCATGTTCGCCCTATCTTTCAATCCATTGCTGCTCAAGCTGACAACGAACCATGCTGTGATTGGGTCGGTGAAACTGGTGCAGGACATTATGTTAAAATGGTTCACAATGGTATCGAATATGGCGATATGCAACTTATTTGTGAGGCATACCAAATAATGAGAGAAGGTCTTGGACTCTCACATGATGAAATTGGTGATGTCTTTGAAGAATGGAATAAGGGAGAACTTGATTCCTACTTGATTGAAATTACTCGAAATATTGTTAGATATAAAGATACAGATGGTAAACCTTTAGTTGAAAAAGTTAAAGATACCGCAGGACAGGTAATTTTACAAATTACTTTTGTCAATTTACTTGTACATATTTTTATTACCTATTTTCACTTTTTTTTTTCATAAAATATTAGAAAGGAACTGGTAAATGGACCGCTATATCTGCTCTTGACCTAGGTGTCCCCGTTACACTTATAGGAGAAGCTGTTTTCTCTCGTACACTTTCTTCTTTGAAAGATGAACGTACCCGTGCAAGCAAATTATTAAAAGGCCCTACAAATCCGAAATTCCACGGAAATAAACATACTTTTATCAAGCAACTGGGTCAAGCTTTATATGCCTCTAAATTGATTTCTTATGCTCAAGGATTCATGTTACTGCGTGAAGCCGCTAAAGATAACAATTGGAATTTGAATTATGCTGGTATCGCGTTAATGTGGCGTGGTGGTTGTATTATTCGAAGGTTGGTCAATCTACATGCATATTTATTTTTTAAATTCACTTTCAATTTGCTATATAGTTCATAATGTATATTTTTTTCATATATAAATGATCGTAAAACTAATGACTTTTTTAACTTAATTGACTAGTGCCTTCCTTGGTAATATCAAGAATGCTTACGTTAACAATCCAAATCTTGAGAATCTTCTTTTTGATCCATTTTTCAAAACTGCTATTGAGGATGCTCAAGACTCTTGGCGTCAGGTTGTTTCACAAGCAATTCTACTCGGTATTCCTACTCCTGCGTTTTCTACCGCATTAGCCTTCTATGATGGTTATAGGCATGAAAAATTACCTGCAAATTTACTTCAAAGTCAGAGAGATTACTTTGGGTATTTATTTGATGTTTAAATATTGTTTTATCTCTTGTTTATCATTATATACTAATATTTATTATTTACTTGCTTTATTCTCCAATAGCGCTCATACCTTCAGGTACTTGGATGAATTTATCGATGAAAGTCATCCAAGCGGTGATATTCATGTCAATTGGACCGGCGAAGGTGGTAACGTGAGTGCTTCGACATATCAAGCTTAATGAACATCTTAAATCAAAGCTTTAATAACTATGTAGATAAATTTTTTTATATTTATGATGTGTTCAATTAGAAAAATTCATTTGAATGTCAATATTTATTAAAACAATGTTTATTCGAACTTGTAACTTTGTCATGTCATATATTTATCGTTTATAAAATAACAATTAAATTTAAAGAGAACAATTTGCTGTCAACTGAATTGACTGTCCTTATTAGAGTTTGGAACCGGATTTATATTAATTAGTGATTTTTCTGCTTCGGATTTTAAATCCGAATTATTAATGAATTTATTCCAACAATTTTATTGGTCAAATTCAAAATAACAATACATAGTAGCATCATTGTATGTATGTACTGTACATACATACATTCAGTGATAAATCATTCGATCACTTATTAAGGATAAAAACTATTTTATCATTATAGAAATTTTATAGGTTGTCAAATACTTTTGTTCCGTGTGCGTTTGTACAGACAATGTGAAATCGAATCCGAAGGAAATCGAATTTAAATTCGAAGGTCGAATCCGATTCCAAACTCTAGTCCTTATCTGAAAAAAATTTGATGTGCGCTATCACCGCACTTTATATTTATTATAATATATTTATTAATAAAAATATCAGGCGATGTGCACTATATATTTAATATCGCGAAATCTACGGACAGTGCAGTCATGTGATATTATTGAGGGAAAAAAATCGAAATATTTCGGTATCCACCTGTCCAAATTCGATCGAAATTTTTTTGTTTAAATTCTATGTATCTTAGAATTCAAATAAAAAAAAATTTCATCGAATTTGGTCAGGTGGCTATGGAGATATCTTCGCTCAAAGTTAGAGAAAAATCAAACCGCCTATCAAAATAAAGTTGCACCGATTTTTTGGAAATTTAAGCCAAGATATCTCCACTAGTGATACAAATTGCCAAAAATTTTGCAATCGATTAGTTGTCAACTTTTGATTATTCGATTTTTATTCGATTCTAATATAAGTTGCCAAAAATTTTTCAATCAATTAGTTGTCAACTTTTCGATTAGTTGCGATTTTCGATTTGTAACACTAATTTCCACAACCACCCAATAAAATTTTTAATGGACACATAAAATTAAATAAAAAAATTTTTATCAAATTTGGTTAGGTAGTTGTGGAGAAGAATCAAAATGATTATTAAAATAGAAGCTATGTCAATTTTTTTAAAAAATTTGAGCAAGTTACCCTAATTTGCAGCAAATAGTACCCCCTTGTTAGTGTACCCCACAGTTTGTACCCGGGATTAATCAAGTATTTGTCGCAAACATGATTGTAAAAGACCCAGGTATATCTAGAATGCAATTTATATAGTGCATAACTTCTTTTATGTTTTTTTTTCAATTTCGTTA